CGACGATAACCATCTGACTGCCCACCCCCTTGAGAGAAAGTGCTTCTGCCTGTGCCGGCTAAAATACACCTGCTTTAGGGGCACCTGGGTGGCTCAGTCGGTTGAGCATCCGACTTCGGCTCAGGTCATGATCTCCTGGTTCATGAACTCAAGCCCCACATTGGGCTCACTGCTGTCAGTGCAGAGCCTGCTTTGGATCCTCTGACTCCCTCTCTCTCTGGCCCTCCCCCACTCATGCTCTCCCTCTCAAAAATAAAAATTAAAGCAACATAAAAAAAGACACCTGCTTTAGTGGGTGCTGCAAATCGGCATCCACGGGGCTTAACTCTCCCCGGAATGAAGGAAGTGACCGATCACAAGGAACCTTATCAGAAAACCATACAGAGAGACGGGAATAGACCTTGGACCCTGCCCTGGGACTTCCACCATGGCACCAAGTCATCAGGGCCCTTGTCTGCTGGCCTTGAACTCTGGGCTAAGATGCCTTTTGCTGTCCCTTCTGTCCGAGAGGACATAGAAGCACTGGTAAGAGATGTTTGCCCCTTTCAGCAAGACTGACGTATGAAAATCTAAACAGAAGAGATAAATTAGAGGACTGTTTATTTTACAAAATAACCAAACTATAAGATTATTTTAAGTGGTGAGTCACCCCAAGATAGTGTAAAATCTGATTTGCTTTCAATCAAAAAAGTGATGTGATATGGGGCACCTGGGTGGCTTAGTCGGTTGAGCGTCCAACTTCTGCTCAGGTCATGATCTCGCGGTTTGTGAGTTCGAGCCCCGCGTCGGGCTCTGTGCTGACAGCTCGGAGCCTGGAGCCTGCTGCGGATTCTGTCTCCCTCTCTCTCTGCCCCTCCCCCACTCATGCTCTGTCTCTCTCTCTCTCTCAAAAATAAATAAACATTAAAAAAGTGATGTGATATCAAAAGCTATCAAACATCAGAAAGAGTGATATACTTACAGCCACATGCCCACGCCTAATCACAGAAGGTCAGAGGAAACGGGGGGCAGGGGGTGTCCTTGGGTTTTCAAGCAGACCCAGCATTTGGTGACATGTGGTGGGGCCATGCGGTCTGCATGCGCAGGGCCCTTAGCTGGCCAAACTGAGGGCTGGGCCCTCGCCCTGGGGCCCTGCAATCCATGGGATGATAGAAATCAACCCCTGAGGATGCGAGTTAGCTACATCGCCACTGTTTGCACAGCTTTGGAGCCCACAAAGGGCCTCACAGGATAGCCTGCCACCACCCCCCACCCTGCCTATGACAGCCAGCACCCTGGTGGGCATGTGGCCACCTAGGACAAGCCCCACCACTCTAGCTGAGTTCCATGAACTGTTCCAAGGGCCTTGTCCAGACTGAACCAGGCCCCTTCTGAGCTGGGACAAGTTAACCATTGACAGTGTTGGGGGTGGAGGAGTGGAGGGGACTTGAGGAAGTGAGTCAGCTTCTATGCTTGAAGACAAAACCCAGAACCCCCCAGCCCCTATCCCTCTGCAGGACCCCTGATGCCATTTGTGCACTCTGGGTAAGACTGGGCTACCCTGGATAGGAACGGAGAGATGTTCCTACCAGACGGCCAGAAACATCCTCCAGGCTGGTGGTGGGGGCGGGGG